CCAAGGGAACCAGATCCCACCAGGCACCTGCCATCTGAGCTGGTGGCTCTGGCCTCTTTCGGCCACTCACGGCCATCCATTCACGTATTTCTTTTGCAAACATCCGAGGTCTGCCGGGATCCAGCCCCGGGCCGGCTGCTGGGGCCACATGACAGACCCCGTCTGCCCTGAAGGCCCTGCTCTCAGGCACATCTAATTCAGAAAAGGGCCAAGAGACAGCCTCCAAGTGCTTGGGGGCACAGATTCAGGCAACAGGAAGGCTTCCTGGGGGAGAAGGGGGGATGGGCGGCATTCTAGGCGCTGCCCACCAATGTTTAACTTGGCCCTGGGCAAGCGTCAGTATCCCCGGCAGGGATCAGCTGTGAACGGGCACCGGCATCCAGCAGGGTCTGTGGGTGGAGGCCCTCAGGAGGGAGGCAGGGGTGGAAGTCCCTGGAAAGGGTGATGGTGGCAAGAGGCTGGAGGAAACTTCAGAGACTGAGTCTTCAGCAAATGTTGGTGAAGCCCCTGCTGTGTGCCTTCCCGGGTGCTGGGAACCAGTCCCTGCCTCAGGCCGGCTGTGGAGGAGCAAGGGCAGGGGAGGGCCCGACAGGCAGTCAGGGGGACCCTGCGGTGACGGGGGCTGAGGCAGTGACCTGTGAGCCAAGGTCAGAGGGATGAAGGGAGTGACCGCATGAAGACGGGTGGCCATGCAGGCAGAGGGGACATCTTCCACAAAGCCCTGGGCAGGGCTGAGGGTCTAAGGAAAGGCCAGGGCTGAGAGGCGAGTGGACGCCGGCCGGCGGTCTAGGGTGGGAAGGGCTCGTTGTGACCATTCACATCGATCCTCTGGAGACTCAGCTTCAGCATCCTTCAGCCCCTCTGCCCCCGGGTCACGTCTCCTCCCGGAGGCCAGGAGCGCACTGCATCCCCGGAAGCACAGCAAACATCCCTCAGAGACAGGGATGCTCCTGTTTTCTGCAAGGTCATAGAAAGGGCCTGCAGGCCTGGCTTCCCCCATGCATTTGCTGTGTGACCCTAAGCAAGATATTTCACCTCTCTGAGCCTTAGTTCCCTTATCTGGAAAGTGGAGGTGGACCTAGTATCTGTCTCATGGTGCCTTTGTGAAAATTAAATGATAAAAGGCCTAGCAGGTTCCCAGCGCATAAGAAGCGTTCAAAACATGGTGGATGTCACATGTGATGAAAGATTCCACGTCTAAATAACCATCTAAGAAGGTGGGAAGCGTTGAGAAATGTGTGTCCCAAAGTATAAGCCACAGGAGTGGGAACTGTAACTGGTCAGGGAATAGCGGGCAGAAGTATTTTCAATGAAGGAGCAAAGCCTTCGTGTCCAGCTCCAGTGTCCAGGATGGCCAGGTGGATCAGTGGTGGACAAATGAATGGACGGATGGTTGGGTGGATAGGTGGGTGGTTGGATGGGTGGGAGGCTGACTTGATGGATTGGTGTTTGAATGGTTGGTGCTTGGAAGGATGGACGATTGAGTAGCCGGATGGATAGATGGACAGACGGACGGACGGATGGATGGATGAATGGATGGACAAGTGGGTTGCTGACTGGATGGAAGGATAGGTAGGTGATGTGACGGGCTAGTGGTTAAATGGTTGCATAGACAGATGGACAGTTGGCTGGCTGGATGGGTGGGTGAATGAAAAGATGGATGGATAGACAAGTCGAGGATGATTGGGTAGGTAAATGAGTAGTAGGTGAGTAAATGGAGAGGTGGATGTCTTTTGTTCGTTTTTTTTTTTTTAATTTTTATTTATTTTTGGCTGTGTTGGGTCTTCATTGCTGCGCACGGGCTTTCTCTGGTTGCGGTGAGCGGGGGCTAGTCTTCGTTGCAGTGCGCTGGCTTCTCCTTGCGGTGACTTCTCTTGCTGCAGAGCATGGGCTCTAGGCACGTGGGCTTCAATAGTTGTGGCACGCGGGCTTCAATAGTTGTGGCTTGCGGGCTCTAGAGCGCAGGCTCAGTAGTTGTGGCGCACAGGCTTAGTTGCTCTGCGGCATGTGGGATCTTCCCGGACCAGGGCTCAAACCTGTGTACCCTGCACCGGCAGGCGGATTCTTAACCATTGCGCCACCAGGGAAGTCCCGAGAGGTGGATGTTTTGATGGACTGCTGGTCTAATGTTTGGTTGTTGGATGGCCGAACGATTGGGTAGATGGGTGTATGGATGGACAGATAGATAGGTGGAGGTGGGTAGATGGCTGGGTGGATGGACTGCTGGTGTAGGTCTTTACAGTCTTCATTCAAAGAGTCCATTAGGCTGGAGACCATGTCTTATCTATTTCAGTGTCTCCCAAGATGTCCAGCCCACTCATTGCTGAGACACACTAATTAATGTGTGAATAAAGACTTTTTCTTTATTCACCTATCCACCCAGGAAGTGGGGGCTTCCCTGGCGGTCCAGTGGTTAAGACTCTGCGCTTCCAATGCAGGGGGCTCGGGTTCGATCCCTGGTCGGGAAACTAAGATCCCACACGCTGCACAGCACAGCCAAAAAAATAAATAAATAAAAATAAAAACAAAACCCAATAAGAATTTCTAAAAAAAAAGATGTGTCTATTTATCTCCTCCTACTCTGAGCTGAGCTGTGATTGCTCTGATGGCAAACGACGTCTCCTTCTCTACTCCGTTCCCTACAAGCCAAACCCAGGCTTGGCACCTGGTAAACACCATACACAGATCCACATTGAGACACCACTTCACACTCACCAGGACAGCTAGAGTGAAAACAGACAGACAATCACAACAGGTGAGGATGTGGAAGCTGGAACCTTCACATGCTGCTGTTGGGTTTATAAAATGGTGCCGCCACTTTGGGAAAGAGTCTGGCAGCTCCTCAGAATGCGTTACCGTATGACTCAGCAACTTCAGTCCTCGGTACTTACCCAAGGGAATTGAAAACGTCAGTGCACACAAAAATTTGTACGCAAATGTATACAGCAGTGTTACTCATAGTCAAACAATGAAACAATCCAAATGTTCATCAGTGTATAAATGGGTATGAAAAATGTGTCTATCCAACCAATGGAATATTATTTGGCCATAAAAATGAATGAGGTACTGACACGTGCTATAACACAGATGAAGCTTGCAGACACTCTGCTAAGTGAAAGCAGCCAGACGCGAAAGGCCACATAGTGTACAATTCCATTTACATGAAAAATCCAGAAGGGGCAAATCCACAGGGACAAAACAGGTTAGTGGTTGTCAAGGGATGGGGGAGTGGGGTTGAGGAGTGATGGCTAATGGGCACCGGGTTTCTTTTCGGGGTGATGAAAACGTTCTGAAATTAGTGGTGATGACTGCACAACACTGAATATACTAAAACCCACAGAATGTACCCTTTATAAGGGTGAATTTTATGTAGCAATAAAGCACTTATAGATATTTTAAAACCCACCAAAGACAGGTGCTGATATATACGTGGACTGGAGGTGGGGGATGGACACAGCGAGGTGTCTGCTCCATTTGGCTTCTCAAGCTGTGCTTCTGGGCCCCAGAGCAGGAGGCCATAGGGTGGCCACAGAGCTAGACCGCAGGCTGGGCCGGTGGAGCCAGAGGGCTGTGGGTAAAAGCAGTCACTGAAACACCACAGCAGAGCGTCAAGCCAGCCTGGCGGACAGCTTCTCCAGGGGACCTGAGGAGTATCATAGCTGGAGGGTGTGTGAGCTGGCAGGAGGCCGGCCCGCTGGATGGCAGGGTGCCTCCCACACTCCCAGGTCTGGGATGCTGGTGCACAAAAGGAGCGCATGCGTGCTCCAGGCCAGAGCAGGTGGTGGAAACTTTCTGAACCTTGGTGTCCTCTTCTGCATAATGGGAACAGGAATCCCTCCCTCCCTCCCTCCCTCCCAGGGTGTGATGGAGATGGCGTGAAACCATTTATACAAAAGCTCTTTGTAAGCTGCTAAGTGCTGGGTAGATGTTACTCCAGCTGTGAGTCAGGGATAGATCCTGGCTCCTGGGCCACCTCCCCCATGCCCTCCCAGCCCCAGGCAGCTGTGGGCTCCAATGAGGCTAAGAAGTGTTCCTGATAAACTGCGTTTGGTGTTTTCCCATGATTGCGGTGGATACTTCTATGCCTGGACACCTTCCTCTTTCCTCGTGGCTCTGACAGGAAAGCCAGGCTGAGACGGGCCAGGCTCAGTCAGGTCCCAGTTCCCAAGGAGGACCGCCCCCTGCCCCCCCCCCCCGCCCCTCTGGTACCAGGAAGGGGCAGCCAGAAGAGGGCTGTGGGTGCAGAGGGGACCGCAGGGAGACAGGAACGGGTTCTGCCTGGAAGGACGCAGCCGTCCCAGGTCCAGGAGGTCCTGCTCATTCGTCTTTCTCTTTCCAGCTGCCGTATCCCCAGGCTCAGGCTGTATTTGAAGAGTACAGAGCACTTCGACTCAGTCAAAAAACGGTTTGGAGACTACAAGGCCTTGCAGAAGAAAGAATGAGGGTTAAAAGTGAGGCCCCTGAAGCCAACCAGACCTGTTTCCTAGCTGTGTGACCTTGGGAAAGTCGATCTGTGCTTCAGTTCCCTCCTCTGTAAGATGGGATCTGAACAGGACCAAGTCTTAGGGTTGTAATATGCGTGAAGTTCTCAAGGCAGCCCTCAGTCCCTAAGGGTTTGCTATTATTATCAAGGAGAGAGGATGCGGAAATGGGTGTTTATTGAAATAAACAGCATTCAAGCCAAACCCATTTACGGAGCACCTACTGTGCGCTGGTGCTGGGGTGCTCAGTCCTGGCCCTCTGGGGGCCCTGAGGATGCTGTGTGTTCGGGGGCGGTGAGCAGGTGTAGCGACTGTGTGCTGCTAAGTGTGGGTGCCTCTCGTAAAGCCACTACGCGTCAGGCAGGGTGCACCCCTGCAGAGGGCTGGTGCGCCCCTCCAGCCCTGCTTCACCACACCCACACCTCGCCCCGACCAAGATCGAGATCCGCTCGGTGGTGACTTGGCGGATTCCTGGGGTGGGGCTCGGGGTGGAGCAGGACCTTAAATACGAGGCCTGCGGGTCCTCCCCACTTCCTGCCGCACTTGCACTCCGCCGCCGTCAGTGAGTACGGTCTGGACCGGGTGGGGGGAGGGGCGGCTGAGACACCCCCTCTCCTAGCAGTCCGACCCCCAGACTGCCTGCGGGGGTCCTCCTTCATCGTCCTGTCTGTCTGTCTCTCCTAGTGCCGCCCTACACCATCGTCTACTTCCCGACCCGAGGTGCGGCCGCTGCTCCTCTAGGAGGGCGAAGGGCACAGACAGGGGTCCCAGCAGGACCTCCAGTCTGGACAGCCCGCGGCGGAGGCGGAGGCGGACGCTGAGACGGAGGCGGGACCCCCCCGGGGGGCGGGGCCGGGATCTCGGGCTCGGGCCTCATCCTCTCTGGGGCCAAGGGTGGGGCGCTCTATCCATCGTCTCTGGTCCCTTCCTGGGGCGCTGTGGGCTGGGTCAGCCTCCCTGTCCTCCCCCCCGCCCCCCCGCAAGACACGCCGGGGGCTCCACCCTTTCTCCACGGTCCATCTGCTCCGCAGCAGGCTCGGAGGCTAGAGTTCGTCCTGTCCCTGAGTCCAGTTCCCATACTCCTGACTTCCCCAGGGCGCTGCGAGGCTGGGGTCTCTGCCCATCCCCACACCCCGTCCTCCCCTCCCCCAGGGCGCTGCGAGGCCCTGCGCATGCTGTTGGCCGACCAGGGCCAGAGCTGGAAGGAGGAGGTGGTGACCAAGGAGTCCTGGTTGCAGGGCCCACTCAAGGCCTCCTGTGTGAGTGACTGTGCTGAGGCAGCATTTGGGCCTTTACGGGGCAGCACGAGGGTGCGGGGCAGCTGAGCTCAGCGTCCCTCACCGAGCCCTTCCCCCTCCCAGCTGTACGGGCAGCTCCCCAAGTTCCAGGATGGAGACCTCATTCTGTACCAGTCCAATGCCATCCTGCGACACCTGGGCCGCTCCTTTGGTGAGTCCTGAGGTTGAAGGCAGCCCAGTCCAGAAAAGCACCTGAAGGGTCCCGCCAAGATGTCCTGGGGCCTGAGTTGCTGCCACCGGTCCTGTGGCTGGAGGGCAGGCCACGTGGCCCAAGAGGAAGGGGCAGGGCCTGGGTTAGGAGGGCTCTGGGTTATTGGGCTGGGGCTGCCGGTCCCCCCGGGCAGGGGCCATACAGGTCTGGCTACCCTCTAGCCAGTCAGCACCACATGGGTTCACTGTGCCTGTTTCCTGGATGACAGCTCAGAGGCAGCCACCAGCCGCCCCGTGTGTGCTGCTGTAGGCTAGAGCCACTGTGGGTGTGCCCAGGAGCTTCAGAGTAGACCTCCTGCCCGTTTCTTCCTGCTCTGGCCTCACCTGAATCTGGAAAACCCATGCACACAGTGAGCAGGCCTGTGGCCTGTTTCAAGGGTGGTGGGAATGTGGCTTAGGGAGGTGGCTGCCTCTTCATTGGCTATCTTGGTGGGGAGGGGGGTGTCCCAGGAGGACAGAAGACCAGTGGGATGAGCCAGGCCCAGGCCCACCCTAACTTCTGCAGCCCCAGGGTGAGAGGACAGAGGCCTCCAGCCGCGGCCTGCTTCCCCGTCTCTCGCCCCACGCTCTCCTGCACTCCGAGGGACACACCAGTCTGCAGAGCCAAGTGCTGTCCAGGCCCCGCAAGCGGCCACTCCTCTGGCCTAGGGAAGCATGATCAGAGGCTTGGCCCACACTTGCAGGGGGACAACCTGGAGGAAGGGCTTGGGGCGATGTGGGCGGGGAATTTCTGACTCCCAGGGACCCAGGGTGTGGTCTCAAAGACAAGCATGGGCTTCTGCTGGGTGTGTTCCTTGGGCTCGTGGAGATGGGAGCAGCAGAGTTGGGCAAAGACGACCCTCCAACGCAGGGGACCTGGTTTCCCAGCCCTGAGGCCTGCAGGCTTCTGGGGGAGAGGGGAGCAGCAGGGCCCCAGCCTGGACAGAACCTGACCCTCTGCCTGGCCGCTGACCCAGGGCTCTACGGCAAAGACCAGCGAGAGGCGGCGCTGGTGGACATGGTGAATGACGGTGTGGAGGACCTCCGCAGGCACTGCAGCCGCATCATTCATCGCGGCCACGTGAGCAGGCCGGGCTTGCACTCAGGGCCGGCGCTGGGGGGCTGCCCGGGCCGCCACGGGCAGCGCTCCCTTTCACAGGAGGAGGACAAGGCCCAGTATGTTCTGGAGCTGCCGGGGCACCTGAAGCCTTTTGAGAGCCTGCTGTCCCAGAACCGAGGGGGGCAGGCCTTCATCGTGGGCGACCAGGTGAGTGCTGGGTCCAGCCCGTTGTAGGTCCATTTCTCAGAAGGGCAAACTGAGACCAGAGCAGGGACCTGACTGGTTCACTGGAGTAGTCAGAGTTCTGACCCCCAGTAGCCCCCCTCTCTCTTGACCCCATTCAAACCCCCTCCCGCCCCCTGTCCTGCAGATCTCCTTCGCAGACTACAACCTGCTGGACCTGCTGCTGAGTCACCAGGTCCTGGTCCCCGGCTGCCTGGAATCCTTCCCCCTGCTCTCGGCCTACGTGGCCCGCCTCAGCGCCCGGCCCAAGCTGCAGGCCTTCCTGGCCTCCCCGGAGCACGTGAACCGCCCCGTCTTTGGAAGCCGCAAGATATGAACCCGCTTGGCCTCCCCTGGCAGACGGGCTGCCCTTGGGACCAATAAACACGGTGAGAGGAAAGCTGTGCTGTGCTCACTGAGGGACCGGGTGGCCACAGGGGGCCCTCTGCCCCTTCCCAGGCTGCGTCTCGGAAGGTGAGGGCTGGGCTGGGTCCTGGAAAAGCCGCAGGTCCCCAGAGCTGCCGGGAGACAAAGAGGAGTTCCAAGTCCAGAGAGGAAGATGAGATCCCAAACCTCAAAGATCTACCCTGGACAACTTCCTGCAGGAGGGGGTTGACCCCCGCCAAGGGTACTCATGGTTATGGCAACCTGGGAACCATCTCCATCTGGGAGAAGGGCCGCCGTGCAGGGAACAGACAGTCCCTGACGTCTGTGTGATGAGTTCTGTCGTCTGCCACAGGCAGGGCGCTTGGTCTCTGCACACTCAGGTGCTGTGCACACGTGCCGCTTGGGAGTGACACGCACGCTCAGGTGTTTCACCCGAGTGAGTGTTGATGTTGTCCATTCTCTGTGTCCCCCACAGTCACCTGCAGGCAGGGCCCAGGTGTAGGGCTGAAGGCAGACCTGGGAGCTCTGGGCGCACCATGCTGCTTGGGAAGCCGGGAGTGGGGGTGGGGGGTGCGGTCAAGGGTCTCCTCCAGCTCCCAGAGCCTCTGTCAGCCCTTGGCGGGAGCACCCTGCCACCTGCCCGATCCCAGCCCATCTCTCCCCTCCCGAAAGACTGTGACTGCCTCCTGCCTCCTGTGGCACCCTCAGCCTGTCCGGCCCCTCCCGCTGGCTCTTTGGACAAGGTGGAGTCAGATAATTCCAGAATGCCTGGCACTCCCAGTGCAGAGCTCTCATGGCTTCTTGCTGCAAAGTCCGCAGCCTGAGGAGCCTGCCAGGCCCTCCTAGAAATGAACTCTTCAGTCTCCAGAACATTCCCCATCCCCTTGCCCGGTTCACCCTTAGAGCTGCTCTCAGCTCTCCGGACAGCCCAGCCCTCCCGCGCCTGCCAGCCTTTGTCCCTGTGGTCTCCTCCGGCCCCCCACTCTCCCGCCACCCCCATGGCCACGCCCCTTCAGCCCTCAGCTCGCTGCCCCTCCGCTGTGGCCAGGTGCCCTGGGCACTTCCCCTTCTCCTGTAGCTCCACTCTGTGGAGTCTGGCCTGCCCAGTGGTCTTGGCTCCAACCCTCCTCCTTTGAGGTCAGAGAGCCGATCAGGTTAATTTCTGTCTCCCCCGCCCCCAGGTGAGGTGCTGACTCACCTTTACCCGTTAGGAAATGGGTGTGCAAACACCAGCAAGAGCTGCCTCTTTGTGTCTGGGACACTCTACCTCCATGGGGGAGGCCGCAGGGCCTCAGTAGTGCCCCCCTCACCCCCATCAACTGAGCCTGTTTCATAAGGGTCTCCTATCACAGGCCTGTCCCAGTTCACAGACCTGGTGGCCCCGCTCCATTCTGGCCCCATACTGGGGACTTCTCGCACTTAACCCCCTCAAGGGAGGAAACCCAGACTCAGAGAGGGAAGGCAGCTTGTCCAAGGCCACACAGCTTATCAACGGGAGAGCTGGAATTTAAACCCAGGGCTGAGGAACTCCTAGGTGGTCCTCGGAAAGGGAGGAAGGGAGGGGGCTGGGGCCGAAGGAGTGGGCCGGCGGCCATTTTCAGGAGCAAGAGTGACTTGGGCCCAGGCAGGTGCCAGAGGCTCCGGCAGGTGGGCAGCGGCACTGGTGGCCACTGTGGAGGCCTTGCCTGCCAGGCCAAGGACTTGGAGTTGACCCCGGGGCACAGGGGTCACCGCAGGCTTTTGAGCAGAAAGGAGGACTCTTAGAAATCTAAGCCTGTAAGTGCTCAGGGAGCCTCAGGCATCACCTAAGTCTACACACTCACCTTACAGACAGGGAAGCAGAGGCCTGGAGAGCGGAATGACTTCCCGGGTTCATGGGCAAGCGAGTGGGTGGGCCGTAGGGATGTCCTGGGCCTGATGCTCCTGGTCTGGGTGCCTGACTGCCCCTTAAAGGAGCCTCTGCCTGAGACACTCCAGCAGAAGCCTGGGGAAGAGGGTCTTTTGTGCATTAGATTTTGGGGGCTGGTGGGCAGTTTTGGTTTCTTTGGGTGGGAAACCCCCAGGAAGGCCCACTGGTCTCCAAGAGGACAGCATAGAACCTGAGCCCCCATTGCCCTGGAGGCAGAGATTGGGCCACGGGGGTTCACGGCACAGGTAGAGGGGACAGTGGCCAAGCGAGTCCACAGAGCAGGCTTGGGGGACACGCAGGCGTCCTGCAGGTCTCGGGACAGTGGGAGGAAAGTTACTCTTTTGAAAACTTCCTGGGGCTTCCTTGGTGGTCCAGTGGTTAGGACTCCACGCTTCCACTGCAGGGGGCGTGGGTTCGCTCTTTGGTCAGGGAACTAAAGTCCCACATGCCGTGCAGTGTGGCCCAAAAATAAATTTAAAAAAAAAAGAAAGAAAAAAACCTTCCTGCAACCAACTGCTTCCACATTCTTTGGGGTGACTGGGCTGAGTGTTTTTGATTGTGCGGCTCCGTGACCCCAAGAAGGTGGCTAGAAGAGGCCCCTGCCGCTGAGAGGAGGGACTCCGGGGACTGGCAGGGCCCCAGTTTGGGCGTCTGGTGTAAGCTGGGGCAGCAAGGATGGGGGTGATGAGATCACCAGGTGGGGGAGAGACTGGGAGCCCCTCCAGCTGGAGAGGTGACAAGTGACCCCGGGACTGAGCTTCCTCCAAGCAATGCCCCAAGCATTTTACGTATATTTACTCATTTAATCCTCACTAAAGAATCCACCTAGTGGATGCTATTAATATCCCCATTTTACAGATGAGGAAATCGAGGCAGGGAGAGGTGAAGTAACCTCCTCAAGGACATGCAGCTGCTAAGGAGGCCAAGCCAGGTTTCGAACCCAGGCTCTCCTGATTGCAATCAAGTCAAAGCCACGGGAATTTTAGAAGCAAGAGTACAGGTCACGTCCAGCCACTGGCCTGCTTTGCTGTTTGCTTTCACGGCTGAGAGGCTGGAAACCAGCTCCGCAAACATGCGGAGATGAAACCAGGGGGAGCGTGAACACCTGGGAGGCTCCACTCACCGACCCTATGGAGACGTTTACCCCCAAGAACTGCTGAGGGTTTGTCCAGGAAGTGCTTTCGGCAACAAAACTTGAACTCCACATCTTCCCATTGGAAGACTTTGTTTGGACCGGGGGTGCCTTTGCATCTCCAGATGGGATCTTCCACAAGGTCAGGAAGGTAGCCCAGGATCCCGCGAGCTTTGCTTGCTGTCCCTTTAACCTATTTGCATGAGCCGTGTTCTTAAGAGAAGCACCCAGGGGAGAAAATAAAACGAAGGCTTTTGGCTCACCCATCGGCCGCATCCATGACTGGTTTCTGGCTCAAAAGGGTGTCAACAGTGAGAAAGTGGTGGCTTCTCAAAGGTTCAGGCTCAGTACGTTTAAGTCTTCAGATAGACCTACGGGTTAGGCCACACCTATGGAAAGTTACCATTTTGAGAGTTTGAAGCAGTGGCTTTTTCCTGTTATTCCAAAAATAGGGCAACTGGGACTTTGGCTCATAAATTCGACCAAGGCAGAGTTAGACACACAACTGGGATGGCCGCTCAACTCTGACCTGGCAATGTCCGTGTGCATCTCCTCCTCCAACCCTGCCAGCCCCCATCATCCCCTGCCGGTACCAGGCCCTGTCCTCCAGACACATGTGACCCAAGCCCAGCTAGTCACCAAGCCCCAGCCCCAGGCACAGTGCGTGGTCCAAGGTGTGAGCCCTTGCAGGGAGCTGGGCCCATCAGAGTCCCTCCCGACCCAGCCTGGACAGCGCTGGCCAGGCGCCAGGAGCTCCCTCGGCGACCAGAGCTTGCTTTTCTGTACAAGAGTCTGTGAGGATGTGACTTTGGAGCAGACTGTGGGGTTGGTTACAGCTGAGAGAGTGGAGCGTGTGTGCGTGTGTGTGTGTGTGTGAGTGTGAGAGAGAGAGTGAGAGAGAGTGAGAGAGAGAATGAGTTTTTTTAGGCCACAGTTCTAGTCCCCGAGAGGCCAGATCCACTCTCTCCTTCCCCTGGTTTGTTTATGTGACCCCAGACATAAGTTGAGTTGAGTTTCTGTGACTTCAGCTGAAAGAGACTGTGATAGTTTCCAAATATGTACACAAACCCCTTGATGATTTTCCCCTCAGGATTTGGAACCAATCTCCTACCCCTTGAGTATGACTGGACTTAGTGACCTGTTTCTAATCACATGTGTGGAAGAGATGGTTGTGGGATGTGCAGGACGAGGTCGTGGAAGGTTCTGTGGCTTGCTCCTGACTCCCGCTCTTGGGTCACCAGACACCCATCGTGAAGACACTCAAGCAGCCCTGGTGATAAGGAACTGAGGCTTCGTGCCAAAGCCAGCACTAAATCACCATCCATGTGAGCAAACTGTCTAGAAGGGACTCCTTACACTGCCTTGCCCGTTTCTTTCCATGGGAACCACAATAAAGGCTTCTGCCCACAGTTCCCCATCTTTCTCTGCCTCTTGATCGACCCTGGTGCGACTTCAGGCCGCCAACCCCCAACCCCAGCGTGGCAATGCCTCGCTCTCCTGGGATCTGTGAGAAACAAACTCTCTTTTCGATGGTAGTTGCCTCTTGATCTGTCGGCCTCGTTATACCTAAATAATCATAAAACCTATATTTAAAACAGAGACCCTGGGCAGCAGCTGCCCGGCCAAACCACTCCCAAATTTCGGACTCAGAAATGGAGATAATAAATGCTTACTGTTTTAAGTAGCTGAATTTTGAGGTCATTTGTTAGGCAGCAATAGATAACTACTACAGAGTTGGTACCAGGCCAGCACCTTCCAGCCCCAGCGTGGGATGAACGTGGAGCAGATTTTAAGCTTCACAAAGCAAGGCAGGTGCTCTGAGGTTTAATGAGCTACTTTCCAGAGGTTTTCTGGTTCCTTTGGTTGAGGTTTGGTGTCTTCTCTGAGGCCACTCAGCAGAAGTGTTGATTAGTGCTCGGGACAAAGGCACATCCTTCAAACAGGAATCTTTCCTTTGATGATCCCAATTCCTGATTGCAAACCCAGCGTGGCCAAACACCCCCATGTACATTCCAATGATTAGTTTTTCCACGCAGCTCATTCATGTTGAAGAGCAGCTGATGAGCTCGACCTGCCCCTTACTTGCTGTGTCATCCAGATCTTGATACCCCAACAAGAAAATACATCTAAGACATTTAGCTCAGTGCCTGGCCCATAATAAGTGCTCAATAAATGGTTGAACACAATTTTTGTAAGAACCCAGCTCTGCAGATATTATTGCCACCCTTAGCTTCAGGGCTATCTCAACATCTTGAGAAAGCGGCATGTCTTCTTTCACCATATATTTTGTACAAATAAGCAACTGAACAAGAGGAAAAAAAAAAACTGATGGTCAGTTGACCTCTAGCAAAACCTGAAGTTTGACATTTTCAGCCAGTCATCGTTCTGCACTTGTGTGTAGAACGAAACAAAGAAATATTACTCCGTTGCGATTTTCTCTCCAAGTAAAGATTTTTAAATCGAGTTTTTTATTATTCAGTTTTTAAGATCAACACGTTATTTAAGAATGAAAACCAAATGGATTGTTCTAATCACAACAGGTTGAAAAGCTATCTTCTCATAGACAGCCCTCGATAGGTGATTCTTCTGTTTAAATAGTGTATTAGTCAGTGTTCTCCGGAGAAACAGAACCAGTAGGAGAGATATACGTAGACAAGATTTATTACATGATTATGGAGGCTGAGAAGTCCCACAGTCTGTCGTCTACAGGCTGAGGCCCAGGAAAGCCAGTGGTGTGGTTTGAAGGTTTGAGAGCTGAGGGCTGATGCATTGCGTTGGCCAAAAATTCATTTGGGGTTTTCCGTAATAGGTTGATTTTTTTTTTTTTTAGAAGATGTTGGGGGTAGGAGTTTATTAATTAATTTATTTATTTTGGCTGTGTTGGGTCTTCGTTTCTGTGTGAGGGCTTTCTCTAGTTACGGCAAGCGGGGGCCACTCTTCATCGCGGTGCGCGGGCCTCTCACTATCGCGGCCTCTCTTGCTGCGGAGCACAGGCTCCAGACGCGCAGGCTCAGTAGTTGTGGCTCACGGGCCTAGTTGCTCCGCGGCATGTGGGATCCTCCCAGACCAGGGCTCGAACCCGTGTCCCCTACATTAGCAGGCAGATTCTCAACCACTGCACCACCAGGGAAGCCCATATATTGATTTTTTGCCCAACCCCAATATTATAGATTCCAGTCCAGCTCAGAAGGCATGAGAACCAGGAATGCTGAGGGCAGGAGATCGACGTCCACCTGAAGCGATCAGGCAGGAAGTGAATTCAACCTTCCCCTGACTTTTTGTACTAGGGAGGCCCTCAATGGATCAGATGAAGCCCACCCACTTTGGGGAGAACCATCTGCTGGAACATCTGTCCTTCCCCACACACGGCATTCCTACACCTGAACATCTTTTCTCACGTAGCGAAGTTCTTCCATGACTGCCCCGATGCCCTCTGACCTAGAACACCACTTGGTCTTCCTACAAGGGTTGATCCCAGCAGCCTGGCACTGGCCTGAGCCGTGTTCAAGTGACCAATGCAGCTGCTCAGCATTCGCTCTGGTCAAGGTGTGAGCTGCATGGATTGACAGTGTCACTTTGTAAACCAGCAGTTTGTAGCAGCTCTCAAGGTGGCCCTTGCTGCTCCACCTCTATGCATCCAAAGCACTGCCTGGGCCTCCGGTTTTCAAGGGCACATTTTATTTTGTGTTAGAATGCTCGTTTACACATCTGCTTCCCTGTTCTATGATGTGGAGCCTTTGGAGAGAAGGGGCTGCATTATTATTATCGTCTTCTTCTTTTCCCACATTTGTTGTTATTTTTTTTTTATTTTTATTTTTTGCGGTACGCGGGCCTCTCACTGTTGTGGCCTCTCCCGTTGCAGAGCACAGGCTCCGGATGCGCAGGCTCAGCGGCCATGGCTCACAAGCCCAGCTGCTCTGCGGCATGTGGGATCTTCCCGGACCGGGGCACGAACCCGCGTCCCCTGCATCGGCAGGCGGACTCTCAACCACTGCGCCACCAGGGAAGCCCGTTGTTGTTATTCTTTTAAAAAATATTTATTTATTTATTTATTTGTTGAAGTTTAGTAGATTTACAATGTGTTAATTTCAGGTGTACAGCAAAGGGATTCAGTTATACGTACATATGTATTCTTTTTCAGATTCTTTTCCATTTAGGTTATTACAAGATATTGAATATAGTTCCCTGTGCTATACAGTGGGTCCTGTTGTTTATCTATTTTATATAGAGTAATGGCTGTAACCATATTCGTTGTTTGCTACGTAACAAACCACCCCAACAGGTAGTGGTTTGAAATAACTCTCATGTCTTATTCCTGCCAGTTCTGTGGCTTGGTCAGATACCTCACCTGGGGCTGGATGGTCCAGGTTTCCCTCATTGTCACCACCTGGGCCTCAGTGAGATGCCTGGGACCTCCATCAACATGACCCCTTATTCTCTCAGAGGCCTGCCTGGAACTGGATAATGTGGAAGTTTTCCAGCAGTAGGAGAGAGCAAGCCTCAACGCGGATGTGCTTCTCAGACCCCTGCTGGTGTCACTTTTGTTAATATTCCATTGACCACGGTAAACCACGCTGCCAAGCCCAGATCACAGGAGGTAGAGACGTTCTTTAGCTCTTGATGGGACAAGGGGCAAATTCACCTTGCAGAGGGGCTTGTGCAGGACAACGGGAAGGACTTGGGGTCAGTTTGCCATCAGCCACCAATGCTTTCAGGCAGAAGGTGAATGATCACAAGAAGAACAGAGATACGAGAAAGCAAGCAAGCCGAGAGGTGACCATGTGAGTCGTGTTCAGGGTAACCGTAAACGGCTAGAAACAGAGCGTGTGTCATATAAACTAAGAGTAAAGAAACATGGAAAAAAATACTCAACCAATCCAAAAGAAGGCAAGAAAGAAATGAAAGGGAACAGAACAGGCAGGGCAAATAGCACAAAATAAGACAGGTGGAAACACGGATCTATATTAGCAATTAAACTGAATGTAAATAGACTATCCTCACAAATATGCCCAACTGATTCTTTACAAAGAGGCAAAAACAATTCAATGGAGGAAAGATCGCTTTTCAACCAGTGGTGCTGAAGCAATTAGACTGCCATAGGCCCCCAAATGGGAGAAAATGTTCAGGATCTAGGGCCAGGCAAAGAGTTCTTAGACTTGACACTAAAAACGTGACCCACAAAAGGAAAAATCGATAAATTGGACCTCATAAAAATGAAAAAGTTTGCTCTGCACAATGCCCTATGAAGAGGATGAAAAGACTAATTATAAGTGGGAGAAAATATTTGCAAACCATATATGCAACTAAAAACTAGTATCTAGAATATGTAAAAAACTCTTAAAACTCAACAGGTAAAAACCCCAGCAATTCTACTTGAAAATGGGTAAAAGACATGAAGAGACAGTTCACGGAGGATGATACAGATGGAAGATAAGCACATGAAAATATACTCAACTTCATCAGCCACTAAGCAAATGCAAATTAAAGCCACAATGAGATATCACTACAGACACTTCCCTGGTGGTCCAGTGGTTAAGAATCCATCTTGCAATGCAGGGGACGCCGGTTCCATCTCTGGTTGGGGAACTAAGATCCCACATGCCGCGTGGGACTAAGCCCCAGCGCCACGACTAGAGAGAAGCCCGAGCACCGCAATGAGCATAGAGCCTGTGTCTGTGCATGCTGCAACTAAGACCCGACGCAGCCAATAAATAAATATATTAAAAAAAATCACTACACGTTTATCAGAGTGGCTAAAAAAATAGTGACAACACTGAATCCTGGCAAGGAATTGATGAAGCTGGATTACTCATGTATTGCTGGTGGGAATGTAAATTGGTGCGTTTACAAACTGGAAACAGTTTGGCAGGTTCAGGTAAATCTAAACATGCAAATTATCGTACAGCCTAGCCATTGCGCTTTGGGGCATTTATCCCAAAGAAATGGAAATTTGCTGTCACACACGAAACACCTGTATATGAATGTTTATAGCAGCCTTATTGATAACAGCCCCAAAGTGGAACTAACCCAGATATCCTTCAATGGGTGAGTGGTTAAACATACCAAGGAATACGACTCAGCAATAAAAAGGAATGAACCACTGATACACAGGACAACTGGAATCTAGAGAATTGTGCTGAATGAAAAGAAAAGCTAATCCCAAAAGCTTGCATACTATTTGATTCCATTTATATAACAATCTTGTCGTGACCAAATTATAGAAATGGAGGACAGGACTTCTCTGGTGGTGCAGTGGTTAAGAATCTGCCTGCCAATGCAGGGGACGCGGGTTCAAGCCCTGGTCCGGGAAGATCCCACATGCCGTGGAGCAAGTAAGCCCG